ACCTCCATGACTAAGCCAATGCGGCGCTCAGCAACCCCATTCTGCTGCGGAGAGGCCGGAAGCGTGAACGTCTGGCGGATGCCGTGCGCCTCACAGTAGGCTCGCAAGAGGTCGGAGAAGAACTCACCACCTCTGTCAGAGTGCAGACGCAGGACAGGAAAGTCCGACTGCAACCGCTCGCGGAGCTGGAGACGAACAACGACAAGGACACGGCGGTGCATGGCACGAAGGCTCTGCACCGAGGGGTGACCAAGACGGTGGTGCCAAAGGAGGGTCTGGTGCGACAAAGCGCGACACGAGCAGGGGGCCGCTAGCTGGCCCCACACGTCCATGTGCAGGGTCTGCAGGGGAGCAGTCGTCGGGGGAAACGAGGAGGAGTGAGGAGCGGCGCGCTGCCGCCCCTCGACACAGGGAAGACAGGGAGGAGCAGGCGAGGGAGGGAGGGGAGGGAGAACCCTGGGAAGACTAGAGACAAGGACACTGCGGTGCATGGCACGAAGGCGCTGCACCGAGGGGTGACCAAGACGGTGGTGCCAAAGGAGGGTCTGGTGCGACAAAGCGCGACACGAACAGGGGGCCGTTAGATGACCTGACGCAGACGCAGACGCAGCGACCTGAGGGGACACAGTAGTCAGTGTGTACAGACTCGAGCCAGGCGCACGGGTAAACGTGGCCAGGTGCCGGCCCGTCCGGGAGCACGTACAGTGGGTCACGCGCTGACCTCCAAGAGTGAATTGGTCAACCCACTGGTCCTGGAGGTGAGCACCACTCACCAAGTTCGTAGAGAACGAGGGGAGGTTAAGACCTGACAGGGAGCCAGACGGGACCACCGGACACGGCAGGACCGTGGAGGAGTGCGCAAGGACTGGACCCCCAGAGGGGTCTGCCAGGGAGACCGCAACCGGCCGACGGAGCGGCGTGAGGGTGGTGCTGTCGCGAAAGAAGGAGAGGGAAGCACCTGAGTTGAGTGTGAAGGTGTACACAGTCTCAGCAGGCGCAGTACCAGAGAGAGCAGACTCGCCAGCACCTAAAGCAGGAGACGCACTAGCACCTAGCGCAGCAGCCTCACCAGCACCTAGAGCAGGAGACGCACTAGCACCTAGAGCAGCAGCCTCACCAGCACCTAGAGCAGGGGGCTCTATACTTGGGTCAGGCGGTACGCACAGGTAACAGGCGCGGTCAGCACTAGTAGGCAATGCATACATGGCAGTGAGAATAGCATCATAGTCAAGAGCAAAGATATCTACCCTCTGTCCAAGCAACTCCAGCCAGGTGGGGAGCTCAGCCTCGTCACCAAACTCGGTACGCCAGGCGTCGCTCAGACGGGCGAAGCAGCGGGACTGTGTATGACCAAGCGTCCCGCAAGCCTGACCAGTCCGATCACCTGTGCGAATGACGTACGGGCAGCAAACGGTACTCAAAGACCCTCTACTCTGAGCGTACCGCTCACGAAGCTGCTGGGGCGTAAGTGTCTCGCGCGGACGCTGCTGCAGCTGCAGCTGACCACTGCTAGACGCTCCCGACTGACCAGCTCTAGGGCGACAGCCACGACGGCTACCGCCACAACCCCAACTAGCGTACCACTCACAAAGCTGCTGGGGCGTGAAAGACTCGCGCGGACGTCGCTGGAGCTGCATCTGGCCACCGCCAGTAGCAGCAGTAGCAGTAGTAGTAGCAGTAGCAGCGCGGGCAAGGCAGGTGTGGCAGGCAGGCAGGCAGGCAGGCTGAGGGCGCGGCAGCGCGCGAACAAGGCGCTCACCAGTGGCGGGAAGGGCAGGCGCTCGCCGGGCGAGCAGGGCCGGCGCTCGGCGGGCGGCGGCAGGGTAGGCGCACGACGGCGGCGACGGCGGGGCCGCAACAGCGGCTGCAGAGTAGGGCCGCGGCAGCTGCAGGGCGGGCCCGCGTCAGCAGCAGGTCGGGGCCGCGACAGCTGCAGGGCGGGACCGCGTCAGCAGCAGGTCGGGGCCGCGTCAGCTACAGGGCGGGGCCGCGTCAGCGGCAGGTCGGGGCCGCAACAGCGTCCTGGCGGGGCCGCGTCGGCGGCAGGGCGGGGCCGCGACCTGGCGGGGCTGCGTCGGCGGCAGGGTGGGGCCGCGACAGCGGCAGGGCGGCGCCGCGTCAGTGGTCTGGTGGGGCTGCATCGGCGGCAGGGCGCGGCGGCGTCAGAGGCAGGGCGGGGCCGCGTCGGCGGCAGGGCGCGGCCGCGTCAGAGGCAGGGCGGGGCCGCGTCGGCGGCACGGCGCGGCCGCGGCAGAGGCAGGGCGGTCCGCGACAGCGACGTGGCGGGGCCGCGTCGGCGGCAGGGCACGGCCGCGTCAGAGGCAGGGCGGGGCCGCGTCAGTGGGAGGGCGGGCCGCGACAGCGACCTGGCGGGGCCGCGACAGCGACCTGGCGGGGCCGCGTCGGTGGCAGGGCGGGGCCGCGACCGCGGCAGGGCGGGGCCACGTCGGCGGCAGGGCGGGGCCGCGACCGCGGCAGGGCGGGGCCGCGTCAGCGACCTGGCGGGGCGGCGCTCTGGCCTGAGGGGCCTGCAGGGGCGGCTCGCGGGCCTGACGGGCCTGCAGGGGCGGCTCGCGGGCCTGACGGGCCTGCAGGGGCGGCGCGTGGGCCTTACGAGCCTGCAGGGGCGGCGCGCGGGCCTTACAGGCCTGCAGGGGCGGCGCGCTGGCATAGGGCAGCAGGAGGCAGCGCTATGGCTGCAGGACGGCGCGCGCACCGGAGCACGTCACAAGGCAAGGCAGGCAGGCAGGCGCAGGACAACACGTGGGGTAGCACGGTAACCGCAACGGTAGGTGGGCCCGAAAAAAAAAGACGGTCCTACGGACCAAGTGCTCTGATACCATGTCAGAATCTAGCAGCAGGAATGAGTGAACTATGAAAGAGTTGGGTACAAGTATAAAGCCCTAAAAGGGGCTGTACCCCATATTGGATACCCCACTACAGCCTACACATATATAACATGCATATACTTTGAAAGTATAACCGAGGCCTGGGGGTATATCCGGGGCATGACGGTAACGATGCGCACGCAGAGGAATAAAAGGCCGAGCGACACCAATTCGAAACGCGATGTGGGTCTTTATCAATAAAAACTCGTTGCCTATGCCTCTCCTTTGTTAGCCTCGCAACGCGAACCATCAGAACAGCATGTCAACATCCACATTCGCTTCTCCCCAGCTGCTCTCCCCACTCTGGCCGACCTATTCCCGACGGTCGCCTTCGCATTGTTAGCACCTCTGCCTAGTAATCGCCGCACCGTCGCGACGAGCGTGACACATGGAGGCCGCCGAGGGACGGTTATGCAGCAGCATCATGCACGCTGGCTCGTACTGCTCGCGGTGACCTCGTCTCCATTCCTAACCTCCATCTCTTCGCTCTGCCCGGGGAGCAGTGCTGTCTGTTGGAAACAATTAACTCTAAGCGCCTCTGTCGTGTCGAAACACCAAGTCAAAAGCGAAGCGAAGCATATCGAAGCACTGGCGAGTCAACCCTCGGAGGTTGAGCAGTTGCTGGAGGTTACGCGAAAGTCAAAGGTCAGCGACCTTTGACCTGACAAGTACAGCGCGACAGCAAGGACACACAACTGACTCGTTACAGAGCAGTTGCCCGAGTCGTCACTGTATCGAACCGCAACAGCAACAGTAAAGTAGTTATAACTGTATCTCTTCATATTCCGTGTACTCTTATATAATCCTGTATCTCTTTGTTTTAATCAATCAACTTTGCCCTCACATACTAGCGCAAGGTGGTTCACAACTCTTTATTAAAAACGCTTCCGCTACTACATCAGTCCTACCCAGAGTTCACCCCTACAAAGATCCTAAGGGCTTTTTTCTCAGCCCAACACTGTCGACTGCGCTTGCTGCGGATTTCGCGTAGTTATTCGGAATCCCAAGGCTTCGCAGGAGTTCCACTCATTTTGTACTCGTTCTTAGTGGATAGTGTTTAGAAAAGGCACAAAGAGACTGCGTGTTTGTAAATAAGACACACTCCATAAGACCTGTTTGAATTCCCAATTTCAACATTCATTCCTTTACAAAAGCATACTGATACCTATTCGCTAGTTCGGTACCAAAAGCGCTGGTCCCTGGCTAGTTTTTTGCAGTCCAGCCATGGCTGCACAAAGGGTGAACTACCGGTATGGCAGGTTCCTACAAGAGAAGTGAATCATTTATAGTTTCAGATGAAGTCAGTTGTCGATAATGTCCAACTACATATCTGAAGCAATGCACGCCTAACATCACGAATGCCGTGATGCTATTGGCTTGCCCTCCCCACTTGGCCCATTACCCCTTCCATCGTCATTCTCCTTCCCCGCCCTGTCTAACAGCCTGCACAGCCCTTTATAATCAACCTCCCTTCCATCTGGCAGCCACAGCTTCTTCAGCCTGGTCAACGAAGTCAACTGCCTCAACCCCCCTTGGTCCACCGCAGTGCCAAACAGAGACAGCGTCTCAAGGCGAGTCAGCTTTCCCACATGCACCATGCCTGCAGACGTCACGCCCTCACACCGATTGAGCCACAAGGCTACAAGCGAGGTGAGGCGAGTCAAGTGCCTGGGGCCAGCATCGGTGACATTGGTGCCCAGCAGAGAGAGGTGGTTCAGGCTGTTCACAGCCCCAATGGGCTCCAACGCACTGTCCAGGATAACCGTGTTATCCACATCTAGCCTCTCCAGCTGTGGGAGTTTGTAGAGGTGCTGTATTCCTGCTGCGCTGAAGCCAGAGCAATGGCTCAAGTCGATGCTCTTGAGGTGGGTCATTGTGGAGACGTGGCCGAGGATAGAGTCTGAGAGGCGGGAGTGATGGCTCAGGTCTAGGATGGTGGAGCGCGATGCCGCAGCTGACTGAATTCTCTGGAGGAGATGCATCACGGGAACATGAACGCAATGCATCACTTAGAAGGCCAGTTAAAAGCGTCACTTAGAAGTTCAGTCACGGTATGTACTGTATGCATTGAGAACAAGCTGACAACACGAACATAATTGAAGCATTTCTATCCTAAAACTCCACACTCACCTTCCAGATCTGTTGCTGATCCCCCTTGCTCTCCCTCACTTCCTCTTTAACATCCAGCTTCAATTTCCCATCGATCACTGCCCTTCGCCACTGCTTCACCACCTCCAGCTCCTCTTTCACTGCCGCCAATTCTCTCTTCTGCTCCTCCACCTGTGCAACAATCGCAGGGTACTTCTCTTGCAAAACATGCACTGCTTGCTGCAACCCTTTCACCCCCTTGCCGTCAGTTGCCTCCTCGTTCACTGCTGCCAGCACAGCACCTGCCACTGCATCAACCAGGTCACTGGTCGCTCTCTCTGCCACCACCTTCCACTGCCGAGCGTGCAGCGACTCACCCCTGCGCTCAAATGGAAGGACCTAGCATGTTCAAATAGAGGGAGGGAAGGGGGTGCGAGGAAGTTGAGAAGTAGGGAGGAGAGAGGGGGAACTGGATGGTAAAGGTGGGTCTTGGATCCATTAATGAGATGACTTTAGCCAAGTCACAAGAGTTGAAGAATCAGAAACAAAACAACCGAAGACATTGACGCATTGTGTAATCTCAGTCAGAATGACATGGCTTAAATTTGCCAAGAGTCACTTAGGTATCAGCCAGATTAACTCAACCCTAAGTCAGTGCAGTGCGTGAAAAGGGTGGCAATGGATACGAAGTGCGAACGCATGCATGTTGGTAGCAGTAGCTTCTTGCTGCATATCCACCTACATTTTCCGTGTGGCTGGGAGCGTAGAGGAGGCGAGTCATGAGCGGCATGACAACGAGCCTGGAGAGGGCAGCGAGAACGAGAGCCACCTTCACCCCTGCCACCGCCGTCATGGCTATTCGTGTCCGACCCATGGGCGTTGATCAGCTGGGGAGGGTTTGGTGCAAACAGGGGGAGAGGCATGGCGACGAGTCTGCAAAGGGATGCGAGAATGAGAGCTACCTTCACCCCTGCCACTGCCGTCATGGCTATCCCCGTCCGACCCATGGGCTTTAATCAGCTGGGGACCGTGAAGCTTAGTGCGTGCAGCAGTGGTGGTGGAGACTGGAGAGAGCATAGGAGCAGCAGAGGGATGTGGTGGAGGGTGAGGGGAGAATGGGGAACGTGGCACAGTGAAATGGGGAAGGAGCATGGAACGAAAGGGTTGAAACGAGCAAGAAGAATCTGGCAGGTTGGGAGTGGACGGAAGCAGAGATGAAGGGAAGGAGGGAAGCAACAGGAAAAGTCATTCACATATGCATCAGCCTGGCGTAAAGCTTGAGGCATTGTAGCGGGGGTGGCCCAGGGCGGAAGGCAAGGAAAGGTTGGAGTCCCCCAATACTCTGTTTGAACAGTACAGCAACATTGTAAATGGTTTGATATCTATATGTTTGAACATAGTATGAAGCCTGAACATTTTTGGGACGGAAGAACAAACGGATGAGTTTAAATTCACGGGATTCTGTCTGGGCCCGTGGAGCCATGGAAGGACACGACAGCAACAGGACGGGACCATGGTATGAAAAGTCACCACTAGACGAGACGGGGAGGGCGAAAAGGGAGCGTGAGAAAGTTGGGAGCGCATAGACGAGGGATCATGGATGGAAGGGAAAAAATCGCAATGGTCACTGCTGGACGCATCGCGGGCCTCACGTGTTTATTGAGGTGCTGTCAGCGCGCAGCGCCTGTGCTGTGGAAACCATCAAGCCACTACAAGCCTAACGAACGTATACGTCCATTCTGAAACAACAGGAGGCAAAACCGGTGGAAAAGGGAACGTCGGAGGGGATTCTGAAGCGAGCCGCTGAACTGAGCCCGGGGATACTGAGCGCGTGCGTGGTAGGTCGCACGGCAGCGTCGCTCATCGTCGCACGAGAGCTCAAGGATTGCGGTCGCACGTACTAACGGGGATGCGAGTGAGGGGGTACGACGCGGGCAGTAAAAGGGCCGTGTCATTCGGGCGAGACGAAGATGCGTGCGGCCGCATTTCTTCGTAGATTGCGAAGGAAGTACGAGGCACATGCACACGTGGATCAGCTTAGAGTAGTTCTCGAGTTGTCCGCCACGTCACTCATTTCCGCTCCTCACTCGCATGGTTCTGTCCCCTAGTCTAGTGTCCGAAATTCAGTTCGTTACAGTGCAAAACCAGTTGCAAGAAATAGGCCGCATGGTGCGAATTTCGCTAAATTGAACGTGTGTAACATTCAAATGAGAAGTAGCAAGCAAATATATGGTCCACACAGAGCTAGCTGATTGGAGGTTGACAAATCAGAACCTGCCGTGCACAAATGTGTGCCAGCACCATTGCCTGGCAGCCTTGTTCTTTAGACGAATTAGGACCCTAGGGTGGTAGTAGCAGTATATCCAATGGATAACAGAATACTACAATAGAAGGTACAATACATCTTCGATTCAGCTCATTATCAAAGCTCACCCCACAGGAGCAGTACCAGGCAGAAAATCACTACTCACCACCACTCCAGGAAGAGCAGCAGTCACCCATCGCTGCAAGCTCCTTTGATCTGTTCTAATGTGGGTCAAGGAGGGCAGATTGCTCAACCACTGCACCACAACGCCAGCAACCCTACACCCCGTCATATCTAACTTCTGCAAGGCAGTCAGGTGCTTCACATGCTCCATGCCCTTATCCGTAACCCCTACTGGCAGCACAAGCAGCTTCAGATTCGTGAGGGATGTGTAGTGCTCCAACCCATCACCCTTCATGCTTAAATTCCCCAGGAAAAGACTCTCCAGGCCTATCAGCCTCCCCAAGTGCACCATGCCAGCAGCTGTGACACCCTGGCAGCCATTAAGCTCCAGAGTCTTGAGTGAAAGCCCAGTCAACAGCTGCAGACCAGCGTCTGTCACTCTGGTGCAGCTAAGGTAGAGACGTTCAAGGTTGCTCGCTGCCCCAATGCCTTCCAGGTGACTGTCAGAAACCGCTGTCTTTCTGAGTGAGAGCCGCTTCAGCTGTGGCAGCCGGTAGAGGTGCTTCAGGCCCTGTGCAGTGAAGCCCGCGGACTTATCCAGATCGATCGATGTCAGGTTAGTCATGGCAGATACAACGTGAAAGACAGTGTCGGAGATGCTGGAGAGATTCTTCAGTTCCAGAGAAGTACGTCTTCCAGTTCTACCACTAAGGGCTGACAAAACGGCCTGAAAAACACTCAAAGCAAAGGCAAACACAACTGTATAATCAGATGGTGGAAAAACACTCAAAGCAAAGGCACACACAACTGTATAATCAGATGGTGGAAAAACACTCAAAGCAAAGGCAAACACAACTGTATAATCAGATGGTGGAAAAACGCTCAAAGCAAAGGCAAACACAACTGTATAATCAGATGGTGGAAAAACGCTCAAAGCAAAGGCAAACACAACTGTATAATCAGATGGTGGAAAAACGCTCAAAGCAAAGGCAAACACAACTGTATAATCAGATGGTGGAAAAACGCTCAAAGCAAAGGCAAACACAACTGTATAATCAGATGGTGGAAAAACGCTCAAAGCAAAGGCAAACACAACTGTATAATCAGATGGTGGAAAAACGCTCAAAGAAAAGGCAAACACAACTGTATAATCAGGTGGTGGAAAAACGCTCAAAGCAAAGGCAAACACAACTGTATAATCAGATGGTGGAAAAACACTCAAAGCAAAGGCAAACACAACTGTATAATCAGATGGTGGAAAAACGCTCAAAGCAAAGGCAAACACAACTGTATAATCAGATGGTGGAAAAACACTCAAAGCAAAGGCAAACACAACTGTATAATCAGATGGTGGAAAAACACTCAAAGCAAAGGCAAACACAACTGCATAATCAGATGGTGGAAACGCAATGCTCCTAAAATGCCAGGAAAGGTTGCTTATGTCCAACATGAGAATGTTCCCATCCCAGCAGGTACAACTTACACCAAACATGCGAACATTCACATCCCAGCAGGTACTACTTACATCCAACATGCTTGTGCTTCCCCAATCGCCTCGTACACGTGCAAGCAACGCTTCCTCGAGGGCAGCTTCGACTTTGAGCACACGGCCACTCTGCTCAGCCACCTGACACCTCCCTGCTGCTAGCTCCTCCTCTTGCCTTGTAATCAAGCTCTTGTGTGCAGCCAACTCCCCCCTGGCTGCTACCAACTGCTCCCTTAGCTCCTTTAATTGCACGCTCAACTCATTCACTCCTTCTAGCCGCCCCAAAGTGATGCCAGCAGCTTCATATGCGCTCTGCAGTGTGAACCTGCCACGTTAAAATGCACAAGACAGCATTATGTGCACATCAGTACAGACCCCGCACTGCATGCATGCCACAAAACGAGCATATGCATTTTGCGTGTTTTAATGATATGTAGAAGGATTGAAAATTTGAGAAAGAAGAATGCCGCAATCAAACAACAGCGCAAGCAGGTGGTGGAAGAAACAGAACGACATGATGTTAAGAAGGAAAGAAACAAAGCAATTTGGCGGGTTTCTCACCTTGTCCTGTCCAGGATTTCATGAGCCTGTGGTGTGGTGAGGGGGAAGATAACGAGGGAGCATTGCGGAGGAAGCAGGAACAGAATGAGTAAATTCCCGTGCAGGACAGAGGAGGACGAGAGGGGAGAGGACACCGGAGCGGCACAAATCTCAAGGTTTGAAGACATGGGAGGAGAGGTATAGAGCTGAGCGACGTGCAGGCAAGCGTTGTGGCATACCCATGCGATTATCAAAGCCCACAGCTTGGTCGTCACAGCAACTTTCTGCTGATGAACCCAGGAGTTTGCTTGCGGATGAGATACGCCCATCCTCCAAAGTAGTGTCACAAGCGCATTCAACGCAACGTATGCAACAATGGCCTGCATTTGAGAAAGCAGATAGCCACAGTCATTTAGTTTGCATATTTTATATATCGACAGGGGGAAAACATAAGCACTTTCCAACAGCCGACAAATGGAGCAGCCCCTTGGTGTTTTTGAAAGCTGTAGGTAACACTCTGCTTTCCAAGGGCTTACCAAGGTGCAAAGGAGGTGGAAAGGCGTGTTGAGAGAACGGGTCATATTCCGTGAAGGAGTTAAGTTGGTGGGGCTGGAGCTGAGGCAGGCGGGTAACATCATGCCACGCAGCAGTGGCATTTCCCTGAGATCGTGCACAACACATGAGGGAATGCATGGTGGGGCATGGACTTCAGCAATAGTCCAAACCAACGGCTCGCCATGTCACTGTGGGAAACCAAGCTGACGATTCTTCTCAGCTGGACTAAGTGGAACACTCCTTCTCAGTTGGGTGCAAAATAGCCGTCAAGTGAGACGCCACGCCACATCCGCACGGCTTGTCAACAGGACGAGGCCGCTCGTCCCGGCTTGAACAAAGAACTGATAAGCACCGACAGTGAATGCAGGTATTCTTTTCAGGATGCATGCATGCATGCAAGCGTTCGAGAGTGAATTGGTTGCTTACACCGAGGGAGTGTAGATACGTGTGAAATTCACTCGCAGGCAGCATGAGTGAATGGTCAGCTTGCAGTCCCGACGTAACACCTGGCTCGTGTAGTTGGGGTGCGTACAAACAGCAGCAGAGTGACGGAAGTGGGGTTTTCCTGACGGAGGGGACCTGCAAAGCAGGGGAGGTGGGAAGAAACAGCAGCAGGGTGAAGGAACCCAGAGAAAGAAGAAGGCAGTCGTCTGGGGGGAGTGGGGGAAGCGCGAGAGGGAAGGGGGAAGAGAGCGGGAGGGAAGCGTGAAGAGAGCGGGAGGACGTATGGCAGAGAGCGGGGGGGAGTGGGAGGATAACGGGAGGGGAAAAGGGGATGGGAGGAGAAGTGAAGAGGTGGGGAGGGCCGGAGAGAGGGGGGTGGAAAGGGCGGGAGAGGGGAGAGAAGCAGGAGACAGAGGAAGCAGTACGACGGGAGAAGCACAGGAGAGGAATGGGCAGTAGACGAGAGGGCCAAGATTAGCTTCCGTAGGAGGGGGAGGTGGGGTGGCGGGGCGAAAGAGAACTGTTGAGCCACGCAAGCTGATAAGAGAAGAGAGTCACCCAGAGGAGCCAGTGGTGGGAGCAAGGAGAGATTGGAGGTGGGATGTGGAATAGGAGAACAGCAGGACGCACCAGATAATCAAAGTGGGAACGCATACAGGTGAGAGGAGCAGCACGAAGCGTCTGATATTCCAGAGCAAGCTGGAGGGCGGTGGTGATTGAAACACCAGATGTTGCTGCTTCCATGGGGGTCATGCTGATGGTTGGGGTGGACGGTCGTTCGAATCCGTCTAATACGTCGCGTCGTACCTGGAGTGTCGAGCGGCAGCGCAGCAGCGCGCGAGGCGCTTTCGTCAGAGGGCGAGTAGCGGGTCGGGTCGAGAGCAATGTGGACGGCAAGGGAACGGCGAGGCGAGGCAACCAGAGTCGAAGGCAAGAGGGAATTGGACAGGAAGAGACCAGGAGGGTAATGAACCACGGTGCACTGCAGTTGGAAGCTGGAGTTAAAGGAGAAGGGCGATGGACGAAGGGTCGGAGGAAGGGATGAGGTGGCGCGATGCGTGCGTTACGACTCCCACTCGCCGCACCGCGCGGCATCTCTCGCTCTTCACGCACGGCCGCTGCGGCATCGTTTCCTATCCCATCTCGCACGCGGCCTCGAGTCGCCTCCGACTCGGCCACTACCACGTACGGCATCGTCAGAACATCTTTTCGCGAGGAGACGATGAAAGGGCGCGATACGTCGTGGCATCGTGGCGCCAACTCGCCGCACCCATCTCTCGCACCGCCGCGCCCTTCATCCACGGCGGCATCGCTTCTCTGTTGGCTTGACCCATTGTCTCGCACGCGCGGCAAACGACGGCATGTTGGCGTGTCTGGGGTGGAGTGATCGCAAATAACGCCACTTAGATTAGGTCGTCGCCACTTGGCGGCGGAGACGCCGGATTCTCAGAAAACGACGCATCCCCATCTCTATCTCTCTCTCTTCCCGCCTCCCCATATTAGCCATATCAACCATTAGCCCCGCCCCGTGCTCGCGCTGCCGTCACGAGTCGCCCCCATCTCGGCCTAGCACCCGGAGGGCGATGCTCGTTTCCGCGAGCCGCGCGGCGAGCACACACTGGCGGTGCTGAGCCTCGCCTCGACCATCACGAACCTATCCGGTTACATTTGCGGGGTTGTTCGCGGCTAAATTCAGCGCCAATTTGCTTGGCGATGCGGCTTTTCGGCAGACAGCATCACGCGGAACAACATGGCTTCTAGGGATGCAACTAGGAGTGAGACGCGACATGACTTCATCTCAATATGATGCGTTTTCCTTCCGCTGCACATGCTTGGATGTACTGTTTTGATAGTGTGGTGTATATTACCTGAGTGTTGAATTAAATTTAGATTCTATCCAAACTGTACATCATGCTGCTAGCATGCTACATGACATCCTTATTGTCTAACGATGCAACATGGTCGTGCAAAGCTGTCTATCTTGCCGAGCTAGCATCCCAACATATCGTAACATACCGTGCACCTGTTGCACTTCCCACCTCAAAATCTGCTCTACTTCCTCCAAATTTCCAAATTGAATCATGGAGGCAGACAGATCTTTACGGGCCCACCGTCGCTGCCACCAACTGTCCCTGCAGTGGAAGGGCTGTTGCACTTGAACTTCCCACCTCAAAATCTACTCTGCTTCCTCCAAACGCCCAAATCGAATCATGGGGGCAGGCAGATCTCAACGGGCCCATCAGAGCTGCCCCCAATGGTCCCCGCGCACGGGTCATTGTACTTCTCATACAGCTGCTTGCTTCCTTTTCCCTATCCAACCCTAGTTACGGGGGCAGACAGATCTCAACGGGCCCACCATAGCTGCCCCCAATGGTCCCCGCACAGGGTCGTTGTACTGCTCATACAGCTGCCGGCTTGCTTCCCCCAAATCCCCAAATATAACTATGAGGGCTCCCAGCTCCCTGCTTCCTCCGATTGTCCAGCCCTAGTTACGGGGGCAGGCAGATCTCAATGGGCCCATCAGAGCTGCCACCGATCCGATGGTCCCCGCACACGGGTCATTGTACTGCTCATACAGCTGCTTGCTTCCTTTGAAAAACCTGGTGACAGTACTGTTGCTTGCACGATGCCGATGGCTTGACCTTTCTTGATCTTCCCTCGACGCATGGACCGTACAGACCAACCGGCAGGGCCTTGGTGCATATCTTGGGCCAAGGAGCCTGCATGTTGGGGATGTGTGCATGTCAGAAAGAGGTGAGTTCAGAGTCGACTCAACAGTCCAACCGGCAGGGCCTCGGTACATATCTTGGGCCAACGAGCCAAAATGTTGGGGTTGTGTGCATGTCAGCAAGAAGTGTGACTCACCCAGAACACTAGCAATGGACAATGAATATGCATGTAAAACGGATTGTAAGGTATGTACCAGGTTATGATAGAGACGTGGAGCGACGGCACTGCATGCTCAACAACAAACAAGAAGGAATTCTTCCAATAACAAGTTGTGAGATGCCTCAAGTTTTGAGACGCCCCAAGTTTTGAGACGTCTCAAAACTGAACAGCAAAACAGGAAAGGACTCTTCCGATAACAAACCGGCAATGCTTTATGCCGTCTCCTCCGACTCCGACTCACATCCCAACTGGCAGTTTGTGGGCTGTAGCACACTCACCTCTCTGTTGGCACTTTGTGGGCTGTAGCACACGAGCCCTGGGTTCAGCCGGTAGAGCTCAATTAAGGAGTAGAACTCAAAGTCCTTCACCACCTGCGCACAGCTGCTCGTGAGCAGCTGGTTGTGAGCTGTAGCAAACTCACCTCTCTGTTCGCAGTTTGTGGGCTGTAGCACACGAGCCCTGGGTTTAGCCGGTAGAGCTCAACCAAGGAGTAGAGCTCAAAGTCCTTCACCACCTGCGCACATCTGCTCGTGCCGCTCACTGAGTAGTCTGTATTGCAGTACTCCCCGCTACCGTCACCCGCCCCGTCTTCCCGCTCGATGCAGAGAGAGCGGGACGCAGGAAGGGGCGAGGAGCAGTCGTAGCCGGGGTTGAGCTGCTGCAGGGAGACAGAGGAGATGGCGAGAGAGGCTGCCACTGACTCGCATGTGTCGCCCTGCATTGGATGGGTGGGGGGAGGAGCGGGGGGGGGGGAGGAACAGGGAGGGGCGAGGAGCAGTCGAAGCCGGGGTTGAGCTGCAGCAGAGACAGGGAGGAGATGCTGAGAGATGCTGCCACTGACTCGCATGTGTCGCCCTGCGTGGGGATAAGAAACAACCGCATGACAGAGCAGCCGAGATACAAAGATAGCAGCTATACCTGCTAGCACAGAGCACACGACAGGGCGCAAGGGAGGTGAGTTGCCTTCTGAATGTAGTAGAAGAGAGAGCAAGAGGGAGGCCCTTGCAAGGTAGTTACCTTTTGAATGTAGTAGAAGAGAGAGCAAGAGGGAGGCCCTTGCAAGGTAGTTACCTTCTGAATGTAGTAGAAGAGAGAGCAAGAGGGAGGCCCTTGCAAGGTAGTTACCTTCTGAATGTAGTAGAAGAGAGAGCAAGAGGGAGGCCCTTGCAAGGTAGTTACCTTCTGAATGTAGTAGAAGAGAGAGCAAGAGGGAGGCCCTTGCAAGCTAGTTACCTTCTGAATGTAGTGGAAGACAGAGCAGGAGGGAGGCCCTTGCAAGGGAGGCGAGTTACCTTTTTGCAGAGATTTCTGCTCTAACGGGAGTTGGAGCTCTACAAAATGCTTCTCTGCAGCCACGCAAACTTTGTTGTTCACTAAGGAGAAAATTGGCTAAGTGTTGAAAAAGGCATAGATTTGGCACACACAGAAAATTCACTAGAATATAATAAAAATAGAATACAAGGGGTAAAATAGAAGCTACCCAACCAATGAACCATGCAGAGAACGTTCGCCCAAGAACGTTTACACAACTACTTTTAGCTGCGCTTTGCCAACTCAGCGTTGGCAGGTGAAAATTACAACATGTGCTTAGTAGGTAATTTTTACCTACCTAAAAGTAGTTGTTTTAGCTGTTCAGGTTGTTTTAAACAACTTCTGTAACGCACGTTTTTGTGAAAGAACAAAGAGTGAATGCACTAGGAAACAGGTGGGTACAAGTAGTATGACCTAAAAGTGTTGTACCCCATATTGTCTACCCCACTACAGCCTACACAGACTATAGCATATAAGTCTGACACACCCCCATAGGCAAAGTGGGGGAGAACAAGGGGTCACAAGACCAGTCAAGCAAAGCAAAGCAAGCTCAGGGTGGATCACAACGTCACCACACATTCCGAGCACAGGTTCAAGGCCACAAGGCCAGTTCACATGCAGGATCATATATATAAAGGTAAACAAGCAAGTGCAGGTATATGTAGAACACAGTACAAGCAAGGTCAAGAAGTAAGCAAGTGAGGCCAGGTAGGCACAAGACCTAGCATCGTACAAAAGCGCTGATGATCACAAGGCTGAAGTGCCTTGGTAAAGATATCAGCAGTGTTGGCCTGAGAGGCCACGTAAGCAAGGCGTAGCTGACCACGCTGCTGTAGCTCACGAGCAAGGAAGTAGCGAAGAGCAATGTGCTTCGTTCTGTGCTCCAGTCTGTGCTCCCGACACAAGGCCAACATGGCCTTGTTGTCTACGTACAGAACTGGAGGAGAACGAGGCGGCTCTCCTAGGTCAGTCAGCAGGTAGGTGAGCCAGCGTAGCTCCTGTGCAGCCATGGCCCCCGCGTAGATCTCAGCCTAAAAGCTGGAGCCGAGAACAGAAGACGAGCAGGTAGACCGCCACGAAACAGAGCCAGAACCAAGGCTGAAGGTGTAACCCTGTGACGACCGCTGCGTAGCCTGGTCGTCAGCCCAAGAAGCGTCTGCGTGACCTGTGAGGACCACTGAACGCCGCCCTCCATGTTGGTGCAACCCTACGGTTTGCACTCGGCTTGTTGTCCGTGTGCGTGAATGTGTGTGTGTATGGAATGGTATGAGGACATGGGATAATATATATTTCATGCTTATAATTGTGTGTGAATGTTGAGTCATGATGTCGAGTGTGTGTGTCGAGTCAATAGCGAGTTATCGCTAGACGCGTGTTACGCGGTCGTTTGTGTCTCGCGCGCGGTTTCTATTTTGTCGTGCGCGGTTTCTATTTTGTCCTGTGTCGAACGTTCGGCGTGTTGCAGGTGTGTGCAGCAGACCCATCAAGAACTCAAGGATGAGTTTGTGATGAAGAGCCCGAGCCTTGGTGTCAAGCCTCAAGTGATTTCGAAGCTTGCCAAAAGGGTACACCTCAAGATATTGAAGATAGTTACATTACTTTGTGTAGTGTAACATTTCACTTGGTGTAGGCCCTAGTGAAGGGTAGTTTCGAGACCCTTCGTGGTTGGGGACAGTGTGGCACTGTTCCACATCACTGTACCTCGGCTCTTGGGGTTTGTAGGAGCTGGGAATCATTCCCAACTCGTAACTCTTCCTATCTTGTGTTCTAAGACTATAGTGGCTGCCATAGTACCGTTCGTTCAAACCGACGCTGTGTCGTCAATTCTTTATCAAATCGTGCAATCTAAATTGCTAATTGTAGACAACGTGAAGACGCTCGAGATACAATTTGAATCAAGTCATTTGCAGCTGTGAGCAGAACGCTATCAACGTTTGAAACCGCTGTGCAGAAATCCGTCTGTGCTCTCTATCTTTCGTTTTAGGCACATTCAA